CTACTGTAAGCAACTCATCATTGTCAAGGGAAGTGTTGTTTTACAAGTGGACATGTTACTTATTGTGGTCTTTTCATTATTTGAATTGTTCAAAAATTAAAGATCTCAATTTGCTTCAACTTAAATTCTGACAGAAGTTTCTCCCATATTCTATTGTTAATTTGCTCCTTTCTCAATTATTGTTAAGCTCCTATTGTTCCTAGACTTGTACATGGATTAGACACCAGTGTAGTTATTTTTTCAATTTTTGAGTTTTGACTTCACTTAATTTGAATCATTTTCAGAGAACACAAACAATTAGGAGTAAAATCATTTTCAGAGCACACAGAACAAACAAATGTACTCTGTACATGACAAAATGAAAAACAGAGGGCAGAGCAAACAAAGAAGGAAACCACGAAAAACAAAGAATAAAACAAAATCAAGGATAATTGAACTACATAAATTTTCATACACATACCTAAATGCAAACTAAAGCTTTCGATCTTTATTTTTGTACTCCCAGAAATAGTTAGTAGCTTCAATTGGAAGTTCCTCATGCTCTGGAATTCCTTCTTCTACGACATCCGAAACAATTCTTTCGCTTCTTCTTCGGTCAGATCTAAAATGGTGTAAATAGCTTCATCCATATCGTTAAAAAATGGTTGGATATCATCTTTAGCCGCTGAACCTCTAATGACCATAGAGAAGAACACATCTTGATAACTGTAGCGGTAGGGTTTTCTAAAAACGGAGAGAGACGGTAGGGAAGAGAGAGATAGTACAATACAGAATACACATGGTAGGTAATTTATTGTCGAACAGTAATTCATTAATTGCGCTAGATTTTTTAGAAGGGTAGTTTAGTCTTTGCATTTGTTTTTAATTCCAAAAAGGGAAAGTGGCTAAGTATTTTGGGACGGCTAAATAAGGAAAGATGGCTAAGTAAAATGGGACGGAAGGAGTATCAGACAAACTTTTAATGAGTTTCTTGGTAGTTATTACTTATTAGTCACCAAGAAATTTTCTACAACTTTCACACCATATTTCTTAATCTTGGCTTTAATGGTATCAGCCATGTCCTTTTAATCGTTGCATGGGTTCGATTTACCTGCACAAAATCATCCATTGTTAACTTGTTTGAAGAGATATTATTGTTTACTACTGCTTTGAGCCGTCGAGGAAAGCTTTGGTATTATAAATTGAAAATATTTGTAGTAAACCAAGTGTAGATAACAAATAGAAGATTTAGATCTATTTTAAATCCTTTGATAATCAATGTACTTGCAAGGGCTATTGTGGTTGGCTGAAATTATATGTGTTCATAATAATGAGTACATTGTGTTTTATATGAATTGAAGTCAGGAACCCATGCGTAGTGGTTAGTAAAAAAGTTTCCAGAAACCAATTCAAATTACCTTCAAAAATAAATTTCACTTTTCTTGCTTAATAACATTCATCAATAAATATATGGCAATAAACATTTGTACTCTATTCAAATCTATGGTACTCCGTATTACAAATTTATACACCATTGTTGGAAAATCAACTATATGTTTTGTATAAAGTTTGAGCACCTTGTTTAGTGTGTTAGTCTCCTCAAATAAATTTCCAATTACCATCTTAAAGATTCAGGTTCTGGTTTACTAACCATCATAGTAATTCTTACAGAGTAATATGTATCCAGTTTTATACTCACTAAGAACACATTGTTTAAAACACCTTTTTGAAAATACTACGTATAAGTTAACTATCCAAAACTTTCATGTACGAAGTATTTCATACCTTATTCAGAACAACATCGAGTCTTTGTGCTCCCTAAAAATTGGTTGGTATCTCAAAAAATTTCATAAACTCCCTCGCAGATCCCATGTGACCTATGGTGTGGTGTTGCATTTGTAACTCAGTCCATATTTATAGTAGATAGGAATGACTTGTCCTTCAATTTTTGAATCTTTTATCCTATAGATAATACGGAGCACTGTGCAATAACGTTCAACACATAAATACTATGTGAATGAACAACTTGAACAGCTTGCATTAAATATAATTTTAATTGGATCCTCATAAGTGCTTTGTGTATTTTAAATTATGTATTTAACACCATAAGATTACATTTGTGAAAAAAACTTATGATCATGGTGCTAACATAACTTTTTATATAAAAATTGAGGTATGTATAGTACATATACACATTTAGGACATTTATCTCACACTCATTCAAAGTTTGGGATATTTAAATTATTTTTCATTTTAAAAAAGTCAGATATTTTTTTTTATTGTACTCCAATTTTTATAAATATATATACGGATTATCAAAATTTGTGACTTTTATAATCTTCTATATGACAGCTGTATTGCATATATAAAGTTAAAAAATATAAAGTTTCAACTGCTTAAGGTTTGTAGGTCCAAAATTGTTCTTAAGTTGATCCATATGCTAAAGTTAAGATTTCATGGTTAGTTTTTTTTACATCTTTCAGTTTGTTTTCAAAAATAGGTCAGAAGTAACAACAACAACAACAACATTAAACTCCAATTTTTTATATTAGAATGTTTGGCTTTTAAAATCATAATTATATACACAATAAAATTGGGAAAATGATGTATAATAATATTAAAAGTAATAAATTAATTAAAAATGTGCTAATGAATATGCTGAAATGCAGGGAAAAATTGAATTGATTTATTCATTGGTGGGGGATTTAAACCGGTCTATCGAATATCTATTTTTGTGTGTGTTTTACAACTATCAAAATATGATCTGATTTGATGTGATATTCTCTCCCTCTTCAACTTTGCAAACTTTTCAATTTTGATTGTCTCATTAATTTTGCCGCTTTCTTTTTTAAGTAAAGAATTTATGATTCCAGTGAATCCTTTCTCCTTTGCAAAAATTTCTATGTCAAACAAATTTGACCAAGTTTTAAGGGGGCATATTTAATTTTAGTAAGTCTTGGGGCTTACAAATGCCATTTTTAAAAGAAGAAAAAAAGGGAAAACCGTACTATATCACAAAAGTCAATTGGATCATTTACTATTTTTTTGAACAAAAACTTGCCTCTATTCATATCATAAGTTTCAGGATCATTACAGGAAAAACAAATATGACACCAACTAAACTCCAACAACTCCGACTGTAAACCCTATGATCAGACTTAAAGACGTTCACCCCTGAAAGAGCAACCATCTCTATTCCCATAGATCCAAACATACCCAATGACATAAAAGGAGACTAAATTCCCAAACAAACTGACAAACCTAACAACATAGACGGTAACAAGAAACCAAATGATGAAATAATAAAAACTAATAGGAGGAGGACGAAACAAGAAAAAAACTAAATAAGCAAAACAAGTGTCTTGAACCCTAGCACCTCGTTCAGGAGGAGGCCAGATCATCGCTATGATTATTGACACAAACAAGGCACAACTCCCGCCCATCGCTCGATTGATTCCCTGGCTCGCAACCTCCGTCTCTCTTGCAATTTCAGCCCCTCTGGATGCCTCTTTTTCGCCCTCCCTTGGCTCCCGCAACTCCTTATCCATCGGCCGCCATAGCACGCTTAGCGATGTTCCTACGAACAATTCGTTCTCTCCTAACCTAATCGTCGCTCCAAAGGACGACTAAATCTAAACGCCGCACACAAAACGGCAAAAACTGAAACACTTATTCAAGGGAGACGGCCGCAGGTAGAGGAGGGTTTAGGGTTTGATACCCCACTAATACGATGTGTTAATTCCATTTGGATCCTTTACTATTAAGGGGATGTTTGGAACAGATTCTGCTTCTGCTTCTTTTTTAAAGCAAAAGCAGAATCAGAATCGGTTTTCAGAAGTTGGTCACCCCCAACTTCTAAAAAAACTGATTCTAGGAGTATATTAGAGCACCTGAATCACTTCTGCACTTTTATCCAAACACTCTAATTTCTTCTTCTACTCCCTGAAGGAGCAGAAGTAATTTTAAGAATCAGATAAAAACACCCCTAAATCGCTCAATTAAATCGCCCAGCTATAAAAAAAACCCTCAATCGGGCATTTCAACGGGGAATCAACCCGTTAGGAGGTCAGGCCAATCCACGTGGCATATTTTACATTTTTCATTTATTTTCTATTTTTCTTTTCTTTCTTCTATTCCGTGAGTCTCTGGTTGTCTTCTTCCGACCAAGCCCCAAGTCTGCAACATCATTTCTTTTTCTTCATTCCACCCTATTCGTTCAAGAGAAGCTTGCCATATGCCATTCCTCATATTAGGATGAAGGAGGCTGTAAGCGATGGCGTGGAGGCAGGGGCTGCTGCGATGTCGCCGGAAAACGGAGGTATGGATGCTGCGAAATCGCCGGAGGTCTTGGGCCTTCTCTCGCCGGCGGTTGTTGAAGTTCTCCATCGGGTTTGTCCAGTTGGTTTATATATACATAATACTATTAAATACTGCCTCCGTCCTTTCTTCTTCGTCCAAGAAACCAACTCGACACATGACTCTCTCTCCCCTCATTTTTTCTGCAATCTCAGCCAACACATAACTGACAACACCGACCATTCCCTTTCTCTGTGGACGACGGACTGCCGATGGGTGGTGGCGGAAAATTACTGAGACAAACTCGCCGGTGAACTTGCGGATTCGATGGAGAACTTCAACTACCTCCGGTGGGAGAAGGCCCAAGACCTCCGGCGATTTCGCAGCACCCATACCTCCGTGCGTACACTTCCGTTGGCTCTGGCTGTCTTCTTCCGCCCGGGTACCAAACCACGTCCACACTTGTACACCCTATAAAAGGGTTTTTAATTTTTACCTTCTTTTCTTTTACCCTTTTCTTCCACTCGGCCACTCCCCTCCCTTCTCGTACATCACCCCTCTCCCTTCCTTTCTTTCTCTTCTATGCTCCCTGTCGAATTCCCCTCTGTCTTAATTCTCATCTCTTACTAAATACCCTGTATGTTTTAAACGCAACATAAATCATACGCTCAAGCACTGAGGTAATAAGAAAGCACCTGCGGAAACACAAGTGAGGACGAGAAGGAAGAACACTCGCTTGAAATCAGAGTGGACCGCCGCTCCTTGTAGTTGCATCTCCACCGTCCACTGCTGCTCCCACGCCACAATCACCTGATCTGATAACCATACGGCAACATTTCTCACGCCTCTCTTCATCCATATCAAGGTAGTAATTCTCTTAAGCTATATATTTAATAAATAATTTAAATTATTCTTAGTATATTGATCTTCCATTGTATATTGTATGCGTAGAGTCTGTTTCACTGGTTTTGATTGAATATCGAGCATGATTTTTTTTAGGTTAAAAGAAATCAATTTCAGGTTACCCACAAAATGTTTGATAAAATGTCTGAATGAAATTTTCTTTCAGTTGAAGTACCAATCTGAAATTATGATATATTCAATTGATATATTCACACAATGTCTGAATGAAATTTCGATTGAGTTTTCTTGCATTTCCCGTTTCCAAGAATGGAAGACAAATTGACAAAATGTTGATGAACTCACCTCTATGTACATGTTTCATAATAGGGAAGAGCCTTTTGAGCATAAAAGTGATATTTAATAGTTGAACAAAATTTTAAATATTAACATCACAAATTTATAAGGATATAGCAATGTAAATAAGCATTTAACATTACAACATATATTATATACATAGAGCCGAAAAAACAGAATCAATTGTAACCGTAAATGCACAAAAAATGGAATAAATACCTCATATGTACAAGGTTTTAGGAAAAGAAAGTTCCAGGAATTTCTATACCAATTGTAAATTTCTATACCAATTGATATCTCCAGGAACTGAGAGAGAAGAAAAGAGAAAGAATGAAGAGAAACGAAAGGGGAGAAAAGAGAAAGAAAAGGAAGGGACGGAAGGGATGAAAGGGGCGTAGGGGGAGATGGGAGAAAAAGGGGGTAAAATTAATTGTGAAATGGTAAATGTAAAAATAGTATTTATAGTGTGTATAAGTGCGTAAGAGTAGTGTGTACCCAAAGCATATTTGATTTCCAACTTAACTTATCGATACAACAGGGGAGCTCCACCGCTACTAGCTTTCACTAAGAAATTGGAGACTGAAATTCTTTAAAAATCCATAGACTTCTGTGATATAGAATTCCACAGGATTCTACAACAATCGAATGGAGTCTATGGATATCTATTATTATTCGTAGAATTTAATCTATGGTGAAGTCCTGACTCCTGAAGCAAGAAGCTTCCGAGTATAGGAGTGTTGTTTTGGACGGAGTCTTTGGAGATCGCTTAATTCCATCCCCCGTAGCTAGAAGGAAGAGCCAACACACAACTCTTTTCACATTTGCAGTAATCAAGCATTCAGAATATGGCAATTGACCGTCTGATTTTAGGTTAGTAAATTTTCATGCCCTCATCGATATTTGTCTACATCGTGTTTGACAGAATGAATATTATAGTGAAAATAATGACAGAGGCAAATACGTATTACAGGGGCAGGCCAAGAGGTGGGGAAGAGTTGCGTGGTGGTGACTATGAATGGAAAGAGGATAATGTTTGACTGTGGCATGCACATGGGCTTTTTGGATCGTCGCCGCTATCCCGATTTCTCTCTTATCTCTCATTCTGGTGATTTCACTAGTGCCCTATCTTGCATCATTATCACCCATTTGTATGGTTATTTGTCTTTACTATATTTCTCTATTTATACGCGATTTCAGATTTTCAGCTGTACATGCATTCTTGTAATATTGCAATATAGTGGGTGAATTAATTTCAACTATCCGTGCAGCCACTTGGATCATATAGGAGCTCTTCCATATTTCACTGAAGTTTGTGGGTATAATGGTCCCATATACATGACGGTAATATCCCTCCAACGTTGTATGCAAATACATAAATAATCATGCTGGGCTATTTGGTTGTAATGCACAATGGAATCATTCCGTCTCATTTCTTTGTGGGTAAATTGATGGCTCAACAGTACCCCACAAAAGCCCTGGGTCCGCTAATGCTTGAAGATTACCGGAAAGTAATGGTTGATAGGAGGGGAGAAGAAGAGCAATTTACTGCAGAACACATTGTGGAATGCATGAATAAAGGTACTGTCTTTTCTTATTTATGAATTTCAAGCACTTATCGTTCTTGTGACAAAGCTGTTCTATTGCAGAGCTTCACACTTCTATAATGATTTCATTCATGCAATCTGCGGATCTGTGTATCTGCTCAAGTTGAATTCCTGTGTTGAACAGTATGTTATTTAAGTAAAACTAAGCAATATCAAATACAAAGTGTTGCATGATCAAATTAATAAGTGGACTTCATAAAATAGTCATATAGCTACTGAAGTGTATTTGAAGCATCAAATACGCTTCTTATCCAATCTTTTTTTTTATCTGCACGACTGCACCCGTGACCCTGATATGGGGTACATGCACACATAGATTTTTACTGCATACTCAAATTTGTATGCAGTTATAGCAGTGGATCTGAAGCAGACTGTGCAGGTCGACGACAATCTACAGATTCGAGCATACTATGCGGGGCATGTAAGGAGTTAAACTTAACATGTTTATATATATTCTGTTGACTTCAAGGTTTTCCATTATCTACATCCTAGAAGTAAAGTTTCAGCAGTGGCTGCAGTGTTGGCTATCTAGAGAATTAAGGCATCTTACACTTCTTTATGCATCATTTCATTTCAAGCTGATCTACCTTGGATGTTATTTGAGTGAATTAGTGAAATATAATAGAAGTAAGGACTCATGCAGTCATGCACAAATATAAAGGGTATGCACACATTTTCTTTTTCTTCAATACCCTTTACAAAGCTATAAAGGATTGGTTTTGCTGATCAAAGTGAATCAGAATATTAAACTGCAAGTCTGCAACAAGGTAAATACTTCATGAGTATCCTTTTTGGGTTTGTGAGCCCACACCAAGGTTGTTATGGCATCGCCTAGGCGTCCTGGCGATGGATAAGGGTCGACCGGGAAGATCGACTCGTCTGGGGAAGATCAGGTGCCTCTGGCGTCGTCCAGGCATCGTGCTAGAGAGAGTTAAAAATCAGTAAATCCACTTTAAGAAGCCTAGCCCAATAAAAGATTTAGAAAGTAGAAGTTTAGAAACTAATCTAGAGTTTTAGAAAGTAAGTTAACTATAAATAAAGGGACCCACGTATTCTGATTTCTTAAACTCGAAACTCGATGGGCATCATCACATCTGAAACTCGAAATTCGAAGGACAATTGTCGACTCCTAAACTCAGAGCATCACTAGTCACTAACTCCTCTGCAGCAGTGTTGCATGCCTGCGTCGCAACTCGCAAGGTTGAAGACGACCTGCAGCACCTGCTCTCCTGCAGCAACTGCTCTTCCACTTTTATCAGTATATTCTAGTCTATAGGTTTTGGTTTTATGATTATTCACTTGTCAGACTTCTTCATAGACCTCTCATATGGATTAATATTACATATGTATGTAATATATAAGCAGTTTCGCACTACACAGTATACCCACTACACAGTTTAATTTTAATACTCCCTCCGTCCCAATTTGTAAGATACTTTACGGTTTACGATGCTTGACCGACGATAAAGCAAATTGATCCCTGTCAACACTCAATTAATTTAGTTTTAGAAAATAAAATCTACATATTCAGAAACTACATTAAAGCCGCTACAAAACCTGCAAAAAAATCAAATTTCATAAAATTTTGATATATAAAATAAAAGATTAAGAGTGATTTATGTTGACCAAGTGAATAGAAAACGTATCTTACAAATTGGGACTGAGGGAGTACTATACTTCATACAGACTATGAAGTATTTATAGATAATTAGATACACCCTACAGTATATATTAGTATATTTGTAATTTGTTTATTAATATTTGTTATACAGTATTAAACTATTAATATAAACTAGTTTGTATATATACACTATATACATAGTTTTATATGGTCAATTAGTAACTTAGTAATTCATACTTCACACACACATATTTAATACATATGTTGCGACTAGTTGCCTAATTCTTGCCTAAGCAGGCGCCTAATCGCCTAGGCGGGCACCTAATTCAAGTCTTGCTTTTTTTGGCCGCATAATAGTACTGTCTTTGTACTCTGATTGCCAAACATGTTTCTAGGTCCTTGGAGCAGCAATGTTCTATGCTAAGGTGGGAGATGCCACTATGGTATATACAGGGGACTACAACATGACACCTGATAGACATCTTGGGTCTGCCCAAATTGACCGTCTGCCGTTGGACCTTGTTATAACTGAGTATGTTTTGCTGCTTCCCTTCACATGTGTAATTGTAATTCTGTATAGTCAATCACATTCGCTTTGGTAGTTTGTTAGTATATATTTCCTATGAGCTCTTCCATATATAACTTTTCAGCAATGAACATTGATATGTCTTGCCCTCCCTGCAGAAGTGGGTTTAGGTTTGCTCTGCTTGAGTAACACTAACATGTTATTGATAGTAAAAATAATTACTTATATTTCCTTTAGAGTGGATAGACTCATAGACCGATGGAGATGAAATTGGTAGAGTTTAGGCAGGGAAATTTGTGTTCGGTTTGGAAGACGTGAGTGGTAAATGACAATGACATTTGAAAATGTCACCAATGACGATAAAAATTGGTTATCCCGCCAAAACAACTTAGCATCCTGAATTTCAAAATCTATGTTGGCCTATTATTCAAAATATAATTATATAAAGGAATGAAGATTGTTTCAAAACAAGTTAGTTGAAGCTTGAATTAGTATTCTACCAAAAAGTGCAACAATCCAAATAGAATCATATTTGTATGTATTTGTTCCGAGTGGTGGATTGAGAATATGTCATTCTGTAATCCAATCTGTAAACTTTTGTGATGGAAAAATCCTAATCATCTTTCAATTTAGTTCAAAAGATCAGATTTTGGACTAAATTGAGCCTCTCAAACATATTTTGCTCACTAGTCACCCTATTTTTTGTTGTACTGAGCATTCTTTTGACTACCTTGGACACTAAGGAGATCCTGGTCAGTTATATGCCCCATTATCCATGCTTCATAATTCAAAAGGACAATGAATTAGATGGAGATGTATCTCATAGAAATAAAACGTGGTGGATGAAATGGAAGGGTGCGTCAGAGTTTCTATGTGATTGAGATGTGCTGACTAGTCTCAAGGGTAAGTTGTATCAAATTTCAATTAGGACTACATTAATGAATGGTGTAGAGTGTTGGACGGTGAAATAGGGTACATTGAAAAGGTAAATGTGACTAAAATGCACATGTTGCGTTGAACGTACGGACATACTAGAAAATACCGCTTGAGAAATGAGACAATCAAGCAAAAAGTGGTATCATCTATTGAAGATAAGATGTGAGAGGCTCAATTGTGATTGAATTGAGAGGCGGGGAGGGGTAGAAGGAGAGAGAGTGGATGACCCATAAAAAGTGGATTAGAGTGGTGAAGAATGATATGGTACTTCTTGGATTGGATGAGAGTATAACTTTGGAGAAAGTGACATGGAGAAGAGAGTATACGTGTGGATGATTGATATGGTACTTATTATTGTTGTTGCTGTTATTATTATTATTACTACTACTATTAATATTATTATAATATGTGAATTCATGTTAGCTCACTCCAAACTCTTTTGGGATTAAGGCTTGGATGTTGTTGTGGTTGTGAGCATTCTTTTGATATCGATATATATATATTTCATACAGTTTTATTTATTGGCTCATTCTGATAATGGGAAAAGGTGCAAATATACCTTGAAGTATATGTGGAGGTGTAGAAATATTCCTGAACTTTTAAAAGGTGCAAAAATACCCCTAATGTTCTTATAAAGGAGCAAATTTACCCTTATTGACTTTAAATAAACAAAATAAATTTAAAAAACAAAAGTAAATTATAAATTTTGAAATTGAGAAATACAAAAATTAAAGAGTTAAAAATAAAGATTTACTTTTATGGTAAAATATTAATTCATTAATTTTAAATGGCAAACTTATTATTTTTCCCTTGTAATTGAAGCACTTCAAATTCATAAATATTAATTTTAGTCTTGTCACTCTTGTTGCAACATTTCAAACACATTGTTACATTTTTTGAAATAACATTATGTGGTTTTGTTCATGATCGTCGATGGCGCAGAATGACGCGTGCGCCATGAGGCACGCTTGTCATGAAAATAGGCCGTGGCGATGGAAATACACCTGGCGACGCCATTCTCTCGCCATCACCATTCTCTCGCCTTCGCCATGGCGATGCGCGATGTCTTTTAACGCATCAGCCGGCATTGCTTTTGTAATTTTTTGGGCTGTTGGGCGTGCTAAGTGCTCTAATATTATGCGAGGCCATAACCTTATTAAAACTCTAATAAGAAATTAATATGTTAGCCCACTATACTAATAACAACCCTTACAAAAGTATAAATAAAGACACAAAGCTATACGACAGAGCCAGAAACGAAAGGGGGAACTCGTTTACTTCTTCCAACTACAAAAGGTATGACTACCCTCTTTAATGCTCTGTATTAATGAAGAAAACTTCAATTTATACTTTATACACTTATAGTTTATACAAAACAATATATAAATATATGATTCCTAAAAATGTGAACTTTATTTAAATATTTAATACAAAATCTGGAATGTGTACTTCATTTAATAAAAAAACTTCATCTGGTATGAGTGCTAACTGTTAAACACTTGAACATAAACAAAAGCAACAGACCAACAGTAGACGATTTAGTGAAATGCTATGCTATATTGCTACTTTATCAATTTAAAGTAAATTTAGTTAGATACTTAGATGATTTGTTCAGATAATTTAAATGGTATGTTCAGATAATTTAAATTGAAGTTTATACTTTATGTTCAAATGAAGTTTTTGCTTTATGTTCAGATAATTTATGTTAAGATAAATGTTCTGATAATTTAGAACAGCTGGAAGTTTTAAATTAACATAAATGTTCAGCTTGAAGTAATAAATTAACATAAATGTTCAAATAATTTAGAACAGCTCAGCCTTTAATGTTAAATGCTATGTTACTTTATCAATTTAAAGTAAATTTAGTAATATACTTAGATGATTTGTTCAGATAGTTTAAATGGTATGTTCAGATTATTTAAAATGAAGTTTTTACTTCAGAACTCAGTATTTAAATTGATGAATTGATACTTTAATTTATTTAGACTAGATAATGTTTTTACTTTAAAGGCTGATGAAGTTAAGTGAGTTAACATATCAATTCAGAATTTCAGATCAATGTTTTTACTTTACAACATTGTATTTATCATTTACTCCATCACTTCATCACAGTTAAGTGAGTTAACATATCAATTTAGATGATGTTCATTGTTCACTTTAAATCGATACCAGTGTAGTTATAGCTTATAAGATTCACCATATAAAAAAAGATCAGGGATCAAAAGCTTGAAGGTTCTATTTCTAAACAGGAAGCCAGTGATCAGTTTTTAAACTATTTATAAAAAAAGATCAGTGATCAAGGACCAGTGCAACACACACAATCTTAACAGGAATCCTTCCTATTAATTATAGCAGGAAGCCACTTTCTTAAAACAATCTATTACTATACACACTAAGATTTAGCAGGAAGCCACTTTCTTAAAGCACGAATACTTGCTAAAGAAGTATCAATTTGATACTTCAAATTGCAAGACATGAAACTTTTTTTTGAATATTATGTTTTTTGAAAGTACTTTAAACTATTTTAACTCACATGTTTTGGGTAGAATGTTGTTATTCAAGTTTTTTATCATGTTTTGGTGGTTGGGTTGATCAAGTATAGTGTGTATAATTCGTTTTGTAGTTCTTTTTTTTTTGTCACGCGATGATGCCATATTTTCGCCATCGCCATCACCATGGGAAAAGGCCTCTGCGCCATGACAACTATGTTTTTGTTTAAACTTAATAAAATTAAAGTGATTCTTTTGTAATCTTGGACTATTTATCATCATACAAAATATGTAATTTATAGTGCAAAGAATACAAAAAACCAATTTTTTTACATTGCAAAACATATGTTAACACTTTTCCGAAAGAATCAAAAATTTTGAAACAAATTTTTATACTAACAATATTAAGTTTTGATTTAAAAATAATAAAAAGGGGAATTGGACACAAGTAGTTTTTTAATTTTTAAATTTTTCAATTTTGAATTTTAAATTTATAATTTATTTTTGGTGTTCTTTAAAATTTATTTTATTTATTTAAAGTCAATAAGGCTAATGTTGCTCCTTTATAGGAACATGAGTTTTTTTTCACCTTTTAGAAGTTCAGGACTTCAGGGGTATATGTGCACTTTCACATATACTTTAGGGGTATATTTGTACCTTTCCTTTCTGATAATCTTGTTGCTACAGCTTTTTTATGACATGACAAATTGAATGGGACGGGATACAATTTTGTCAATTAAAATCTTATTGCACTTTATTTGAAAATTCCTGTATGAGACGCACTACAATTTGGGTAAATAAAAAGATTTCAAGTAAAATGTTGTGAATATATTGTATAATTAATCTGTTTATTTCAATTTGTGTGGTTATCATTATTGTTTATGCTCACATGCTAATAATTGAATGATATATGTGAGGTTATGTAAAGATTTTTTACTTTTAATTTTCATGCACTTTTTCTCTATGCATTTTATTTCTTTAACAGGTCAACTTATGCAAATACTTTCCGTGATTCAAAGTATGCTCGTGAAAGAGAGTTTCTGCAAGCTGTAAGGATTATGATATTATTATTTATTAGAACCATGAGTCCATGACATTATGTTTGAGGTGATAGAAAACATATTATAGAAACTCATTTACATATTAAAATACCAGTATTGTCTAATGTGTATGTATGATTAGAATCAAGTTTTGCATATGATATGAAGAAGCTATTTGATAAAGCACCTAAGGAAAATCTTTGCTAAGCTTTGAATTTAAAGTAGTATCTCAAAACTATTGCCTATTAGGCATAATAAAATATATGCCTTTATATATATAGAATATTCCAGACAGGACCACCGTCTGGACATCTCATTTTGAGATGGTTCCGGGATGGTCTCGGGTAGAATTTTTTGATGAAATTTTGTGAAGATGTTTTCCATGAAGTGTAGATTGTCCACCAAATTTCAGCAAAAAATTCAACTCGGAAGTCAGTTAAATAATTTTTTGAAAAATAAGTGCGCCAAAGTATATATAAAAAAGCAGTCATTTTCAAAAGACTTCTTGTTGAATTTTTAACTCAAATTTGGTGGATAAATCTACTCCATGAAAAACATGCTCATAAAGTTTCACCAAAAACTTCCACCGGGAACCAACTCAAAATGAGGTGGCCGGATGGCAGGCCTATCTGGAAGTTCCAGACAGGAATATTTGTGTGTGTATATATAAGGTGATTTACCATATGCTATTTGTTAACACATTATGTTTGTAGGTTCACAACTGTGTTAATGCTGGGGGAAGGTGCTAATTCCTACATTTGCCCTGGGCAGAGCTCAGGTAGTTCAGTAATGATCCATTGTTTTATGTCCTCTACGTGACTGTGTGTAGATGTCTGACATATTGTTTCTCTTTGTTATCTTCCGTCAAATAATGATAGACTTGGTGCCCATTTAGGATGTTTTTAACTGGACTTGAAATTTTCTGGTGTGGTCTAAGCTGGTCTGGTAGATAGATGCCCGGTCTCTTGTATTTTATAACTGTCCAGCTCTGGTCTGTCACTAAAAATAGTCCTAGTAAAAACATCCTTAGTGATAATATTGAAATACCTGGGAAAGGTAATCACACATTGGCATTTACTATGAGTGATGTGAATACTTTGGTGCCTAAAAGACAAATTGCATACACATTTTGATTTTAGCGCTCTTTGCTGAATTTAGAGTTCTTCGTTACAGGGGCCCTATCAATTCAACTACATACAAATTTCTCACTCAAGTTGTAAATGTAGCTGGGTAGGATAGCTCGTTCTAGTCTAGTATCAAGTGAAATATTGATAGTTGTTTGCATACTTCAATAAAAGCATTAGAAGCTTGATGCTCCATTGCTCCATGTCTTGGTGAGCCAGGTTTGATGTATTAAAAAATTAGACACACTTTGATATGGAACTCAAACATACAACATCAAGATATACATAGATTATAATACCAGTGAAGTTTTCTGAATTTTATTATTGATAGAACTCTCTTTTACATGAAGTACAGCTGCATATTTATAGAAAACTAGTCCTAAGAAGTGTCTGTTCAGTAAATGAATGTAAACTGATTAGACAAGTATTAATTACAACCTGAACATGCACTAAAGACTCACTAAAGACTCATTATTACAAAAAAAAGACTCTTCTTTTTCTCAACAGATGCATCAACAAACCTCAAGCTAGGTTTGTAGATATCCTTCATGCCTAGCTTGACAATAAGACTCTGGAACCTAGGACTGTGAAGAGGTTTGGTAAACACGTCTCCAACTTGATCTTCTGAGGGAATGTAGCTTAGTTCAACCAGACCTCCTTCAACCTTTTCTTTAATGAAATGCCGATCAATCTCAATATGCTTGGTCCGATCATGTTGGACGGGATTACGAGCTATGCTAATTGTTGATTTGTTATCACACCTCAACTCCATTGGTCCCTTCCATCTTATTTGTAAATTAGAGAGAATAAGTCTGAGCCGTAGAATCTCACACAAGCCATGGGCAAGTGCTCTTAGCTCAGATTCAGCAGATGATCGTGCCACAACATTTTGTTTTTTGCTTCTCCATGTCACAAGATTTCCTGCCAGGAAAACACAAAAACCAGTAGTTGATCGGCGGTCAACGAGAGAGCCCCCATAATCTGCATCAGTGAAGGCTTGGACTGATAATTGTCCTCCCTTCATGAACACTTTTCTTTGTCCTGGACTTCCTTTCAAGTAGTGTAGAACCCTATAGGCTGCTTCTAGATGTGATTTCTTGGGGTCATTCATGAACTGACTTAGGACACTAACTGCATAAGCAATGTCAGGTCTGGTATGAGAGAGATAGGTAAGTTTTCCACATAGACGTTGATACATTGTTGAATCAACCTTAGGCTCATCAGTAGCAAGACCAAGCTTATGATTGGGATCAATAGGTGTAGTAACCGGTCGACAAGCACTCTTACCAGTTTCACTCAACAAATCTGTAATGTACTTCTGCTGACTGATAAAGATACCTTCAGATGAGCGGGCAACTTCAATTCCAAGAAAGTATTTTAGAGAGCCTAGGACTTCTTCTCAAATTTGCACTTCACCTTCTTCTCAAGACGCCGTTTCTCAACTGGATCATTATTGGTCAGAATTATATCATCCACATATACTTAAAGAATAGTGACTCCACCTGTGCAAGAGTGCTTGTAAAAAAGAGTATGGTCACCCTTACTTTGACTATAACCAGCAACCCTAACAACTTGGGTGAAACGGTCAAACCAAGCACGAGAGGATTGCTTGAGACCATAGAGGTTTTTTTTTAATCGACATACATGTGTAGAGGTGCCTATTGAAGTTTTATTGAAGCCTGGGGAATGTGCATGTAAATCTCGTCATTCAAGTCACCATGGAGGAGGAAAGCATTCTTGACATCAAATTGCAAAAAAGGCCAATCAAAGTGAGATGCGAAGGATAATAGGATACGAACAATATTGAGCTTGGATACAGGAGCAAAAGTTTTTTGATAGTCAATCCCATACGTCTGAGTGTATCCTTTAGCCACAAGACGAGCTTTGTATTGCTCAAGAGATCCATCAGCATTGTATTTAACAGTAAAGATCCATCTGCAACCAACAACATGTCTTCCAGGAGGTTTAATCACAATATCCCAAGTATGGTTCTTTTCAAGAGCTCTAATTTCCTCTTGCATAGCATCCCTCCATTCTTTCTTTCTTAATGCTTCAGAAACAGAGTTGGGAATGGGAATTTCATTGAGTTTTTGAACAAAACAAGGCATGGGTAGGAGAAAAGTTATCAAAGGTAACAAAATTAGCAAAAGGATATAGAGAAGGTGTAATAGTATAGGTGGGAAGAGATGGAGGAGACGGGGTATCTTGAGATACAGGGAGAGAATTAGGACTGAAAAAAGGGTGTCTTCGTGAAAGGAAACATCTGCACTGGTGTAACTTCTTCTTGTGGCAGGATTATAACACTTGTATCTTTTTTGGGTTGGAGAGTAACCCAAAAAAATACAATTGATAGATCATGGGTCCAATTTCCCCTATGAGGTGGAGGAATATGAACAAATGCAGTACACCCGAACACCTGTAAATCAAGATCAGAAGAGATTCTAGTTTGAGGAAAGAAGTGATGAAGAGAATCAAGAGATTCAAGAGGTGACTTGTTTTGGAGTACACGAGTGGGTAGTTTATTGATGAGATGACATGCTGTGAGTGTGGCTCCCCCAGTAATGTTTAGGCATATTTGATTGGAACAATAAAACCCGACTTACTTCAAGGAGATGACGGTTTTTTCTTTCTACAGTGCCATTTTGTTGAGGTGTGTATGGACAAGAGGACTCATGAACAATACCTTTTGAGAGGAAATAAGAGGAGACCGTTTGATTGAAGTACTCAAGGGCATTATCAGTACGGAAGCGTTTTATAGTGGTAGAGAACTGATTATGAATCATATTGCAGAATATAGGAATAGTAGTGCTCACCTCACTCTTGTTTTTTAGGAGAAAACCCCACATAAAACGTGTACAGTCATCTATAAATGTAACGTACCACCGGGCTCCAGATATATTAGCAATTGGAGCAGGGCCCCAAACATCACTATGTATAATATCAAAAGGAGAATGACTTATTGTATTACTTCGGGAAAAAGATGCACGAGATTGCTTAACAAGTTCACATACATCACATTGTAAGGTAGAAACATCAATACTAGTGAAAAGGCTAGGGAATAAGGTTTTTAGGACATGGAACGATGGATGACTAAGTCGCATATGATGAAGCCAAACAGTTTTGGTATTGGAAGGGACTGAGGTAAGTGCCTTTTGTGGAGGTTTGGAGACAAATAGTGCATCAAGATAATACAGGCCATCTCTTTGCTTAGCAATTCCAATCGTCCTCCCCATGCGCAGATCCTGTAAAAAGCAACAAGAAGGGAAGAAAATAGCAGCACAGTTAAGATAAACAGTGAGTTTAGAAATAGAAGCAAGGTTCATAGCCAAGTTTGGGACATGTAAGGTGTTTTTCAGATTAAATTTATCAGAAAAAACAACTGTGCCATGCCCTTCAACCTCTATAGATGTGACATCAGCAGTAGTAATGTGTGTGGACTTAAAACATTGTTGGTAATTGGAGAGCAAGGAGGATGCAACAGTCATATGAGAGGTGGCACCTGAGTCTAATATCCATTTAGATTGCAGATTCTGTTCTGAAGCATTCAGACAAAAAATTGTAGAGGTTTTACCTTGCAAGGTTAAAGAGCTATGACCAGAACCATTTGAGGTATTTCCTCCTAGGAAATAGGTGAAAGGCTAGTAGAGTTCTCAAGAGTAGTAGGAGTGGCTGAGTTAGCAAATCCTGCGTTAATTCCCTGACTTTTCCTTTCTTTATGGAGATGAGGATAAAGCTTCCAACACGTGTCCACATTATGATTGGACCGCTTGCAATGCTCACACCATTTTCCTCCCTTACTACTTTTAGTTTTCTTATCATTCGAAGAGGCCGAAGAAGTAGACTTGACAGCCAAAGCCGTACTGTCAACTAGCTTAGTGTTCATCATTATATTGCGCCTACTCTCTTCATGTTTGATAGTGGCAATGGTAGAAGATAGGACTGGTAGAGGAGTAGTGGCTAGAAGTTGATACCGGGTCTGATCGTATTCTAGATTTAAACCAGACAAGAAGCAATACAGACATTGCTGGTTTATATAGTTCTTATGAAGGGCTGCGTCTGCAACATTAGACCACTTCATTGTTTGGTAATGGTCAAGTTCAGACCATCACTGTTGGAGGTCAGTAACATATTCTGTGCATATTCTGTGACAGATTGCGAATCTTGCTCAAGATTCGTTGTTAGAAGCCATAAGTCATAGACAAAAGCACCATCTTTATGAAATCCCAGATTTCTTTAGCCGAGTCCATGTATAAACATGTACTGCTAATGTTGGGATCCATAGAGTCCCATAACCAGACTCGTATGTTGGCATTGGTTTTCTCCCAAATAGCAGCATCAATATCTCCTTCTTCTGGTGAAGAGGCAGCGAGATATATTTCAAGATCTTTGCCACGAAGGAGAGTGTAAACCAGCTTTGACCATCCAAGATAGTTTCTCCCACTAAAACCGGTAAGAAGGCGGGATAGAAGAGAGGTCAAATTTCTGGTTTCGAAGGGCAACCGCAGCTGCAGTAGCAGCTGAAACAATGGTTGAGTGGTCAAGGTGACTTGAGGCTGATTCGGCTTCTTTAGACATGATAAAACCCTTGGTGAAGAGACTCCACCGGGAGTTAAAACCCAAAAAATGACTGTTGGAGAGGCGATAGACTCAAAAAAGGCTTAGACGAAACCTAGCTCTGATACCATGAAGTTTTCTGAATTTTATTATTGATAGAACTCTTTTACATGAAGTACAGCTGCATATTTATAGAAAACTAGTCCTAAGAAGTGTCTGTTCAGTAAATGAATATAAACTGATTAGACAAGTATTAATTACAACCTGAACATGCACTAAAGACTCACTAAAGACTCATTATTACAGAAAAAAAGACTCTTCTCTTTCTCAACAGATGCATCAACAGTAAGTGTTAAAGTAAAGAAATAAAGCAAGTCCTAGGTTTAGATTCAATATTCCCCGCTCTTTTGTCAACTCCATCTAAATACTAGAAAATAGGAACTCTTCATGGCCTTATTACATTTGGTATATACCAGTTCTTTATGGTTTGTGTTTAATATGTTACTAATTTTTCTCCAGACACCCTTAATGAGATTTTTTTATTGCCACATTTTTTGTTCTTCTACTGGTGTGCGTCAGTCTTCTTTAATAATGCTGAAGCTGGTTTGTGTCGTTATCTGTCAGGAAATATGTATGCTGCTGGATGACTATTGGGAGCGTATGAATCTTCAAGTTCCTATATATTTTTCTGCAGGTTCATTTTCTCTCTACCTTAACTTATTTTATCGCAATGTTGAAATGATTTCTTTTCAGCTGTATTTATTTACATGTTTTTTGAATATAATTTTATAGGAGACACTAATGACATCCTTTATTTTGGCAATTAGCAAAATCCTTTTTTTTGACATATTAGACACTTGCATACCAATATAACTGATGCATTTGGGTATTAATCTGATGCACACGTTTTATTGTCATGCCAAATCTTAATTGTCAAAAGATGCTGTTCATGGAGAACCTTTTACTTTTGAAGCATGATTAGTGGAGATGAAAGCTTTTAAATTCAGTTTGTATATTGTCAAACTAAAAGCCATTTTTTGTACTAGCTTGATTATTACTCCGTATTTGGATTTATGAGTTCACAGTTATAACTAATCAAGCTGAACTCAAACTAAAAAAGTTTATGGTGAAGCTATCAAGCTAAGTTTGGTTGCTTATAACTCTTTGTAAACATATTTAATAATTTCCGAACTGTTATGCTGTTAATGCCAAGTCAAGCCTTGCCCAGCAAGCTTTCAGGGATAATGCCATCTTTATTCTGTACAGCGTGTTTTTAGAGTTCGCATGTTGGTTTATGAACCTATTTGGAATGAGAATGAACTAATCAGTGGTTTTCTTTGCGGTCCTCTGGTTTGTTACTTAATAACGAACAATAAATGCTGGAGAGCTTATCTGAAAAATGAAAGAAAAGTAGGCTGATAAACTTGTAAAAAACAAGATAGAAGTCATTGTGATTTCATTATGTATTTAATACCTGTAGCTTAACATGGTGATGTTTCAGGATTGACTGTCCAAGCTAATATGTATTACAAGATGCTCATTAACTGGACCAGCCAAAAGGTGAAAAGCACATCCACCATATGCAATCCATTTGATTTTAAAAATGGTAGTACTTCTAAAACTAATTGCTTGCATTGTATATGTATTATTTGTTTGGAAGCCTAATGATTAGTAAAAGTAGAACATGCAGTTTATGAAGCTTCATCATTTTGTTGTTACTATTTTTTTAAGCTTTTAATTTTTAGTATGCAGTTTTGATCGATCATTAGTTAATGCTTCTGGGCCTTGTGTACTCTTTGCAACTCCGGGAATGATAAGTGGAGGGTTCTCACTTGAAGTTTTTAAGCAGTGGGCTCCATGTGAAGATAACCTCATTACTCTTCCTGGGTAAGACCTGATGTTTTTACAATATATGATTGCCTCTGTTTGAACCATTTTTTGAATTTTCAGACATCATTGCTGACCAATTCCGAATAACACCTTTATTGCCTGTCACTGTTGATGTCACTTTGTGCATGGCTGCCTGCCATTTATTTCAATGATGTTAATCATTTTAAAGTATATCTTTTTCCACTGATCTCATCAGATATTGTGTAGCCGGGACCATAGGGCATCAATTGATGTCAGCGAAAACACCCACCAGAATCAGAATGGAAGGAGGGACCCACATTGACGTGCGCTGTCAGGTTCTGGAGTCTGGTCTTTCCTTTAGCAATCCATTTTATAAGAAATGCTTTAAAGCTAAAATGGGTTCATATGTATCGTTTATCTTTACTCTGTTTTAATGAATTCATCATGATATAATTCTCATGCATTTGATAGATCCACCAGCTGTCTTTCAGCCCACACACTGATGCCAAGGGAATTATGGACTTGGTTAAATTTCTTTCACCCAAACATGTCATACTTGTACATGGTGAGAAACCAAAGATGGCATTACTGAAGGAGAGGATCCAAACGGACTTACAAATCCAGTGTTACGATCCTGCAAATAATGAGACTGTGTGTATTCCTTCAACTCATTACATACAAGTGGATGCCACAGATACCTTTGTCAAAAGTGTGGTAACCCCAAATTTCAAGTTTCTAAATAGCAGTTCAAAAACAGATTCTAGTCTAAATGGAATCGATCCGAGGCTCAATCATGTGTTACAAGTATGTGATGACAGAGTCGGCCAAGGGGTACTAGTTATGCAGACCAACCAGAAACCAAAGGTTGTACATGAGAACGAGATGAGAGCAATGCTCGAATTAGAAAGCTATGAAGTGAGATTCGCTTACTGTTTTCCTGTGGAGCTGTCTTTTTCTGAGGATAACACCAACCAAAGCTACGCCGACTTACATGTTTGGCTTCAGTTATTGTATGCAAAACTTGCAGGAGGACTCGAAGATTTGATCATTGTGAACAACAGGGAACATCTTCGCGTAGAGTCATTTGTTATTGTTGTTTGCTTGAAGGAAAAGTGCTCTCACAGAGTCGATAGTGGCAATGCCCAGTGCACATCTAAGTCGGTGCATTTTTGCTGCAGTTGGTCATTGGTGGATGAGAAGCTTGCTTGGAGAATCATCTCCTTGATGAAAAATCTGGAGCTGATAACTGCCCAAGTTGGTTTTAAAAATAGAGTATGATTATTGATTTGTTGTTCTAAATATATCCCCAACCATCTGGTGAATAGGAATTCTTTGTTGTACTATCTCCAGATAATAAGTTTACAATTCTTTCTTTAATTGCTTGGAGAATCATCTATCTGCTTGTTGTCTAATTCTTTTTATTATACACTATAAACACAGAGTATGATTATTGATTTGTATCGCGTGGGCTGTGTGTTCCTCTTTGATTAGTTTTGGCATTTATATCAATCTACAGCCGAAGCTATTCCCGGCCAAGCTGAAATGCTTCAATTCTTCTTCTAATTTGGGGAGCACAGACGTATGGATATATATAGTCCCGTTTGAGTGAGTGAGCAGCTCCTGACCGGGACCGCCGTGCGGAAATCACTGTTTGGGGTGGTTCTCGGTGGTATTTTTTGAGGAAAAAGGGTCAAGCCCATCAAAAAAATCGTCAAGCCCCTGTACTAAAAAATACATCACATGGGTGCTTTTATTAATGAAAAACAATCAAATAAACCAGTGACCCGAAATCAACCTCTTCCAGGCTGTTCCAGCGGGTTAGTTGCATTTTACTTTATTTTTCTCTTTCCTTATTTTTTTCTTGAAGCACACTCCTGTCTCAACTCTCAAGCCGCTTGTTTCTTTATTTTCCTGTCTCCTTAAATCTTTTCTTTTCTCAGATCTGGGCTGATCTTCTGGCTACATTCATGTGTCATCTTTATTTTTCTTTTTCTGTTTCATCCTATATTCCTATCATTTCAACAATTTTTATTTTCACTTTTTTTTGTTCTTTTCCCATGTTTCCTTTTTATTTGTTGCCTTCTCCCAAGAAATATGTTCTTACATTTCTTTCTAATTATTTCAATAAATCATCTATCATCTTCTCCCAAGAAAAAATAAATAAACCAACTTTTATCAAAGATTCTTTTATTTTGAATAAAATCACACCTTTAATCTTTTAGCTATTGCCCATACTAAAATATAGTAGTCATTACCATAAAATCGAATTAAAATTGTTACGTATTGGTAACTTTGACAAAGTTCGAATTATAATTTTAAGCACAGTTAAAAAAATACACTTTTTCTACACATTTTTACATTTTTTATCTAAAGTTAGACATAGACAAAAAATGTTGGCTGAAATATCAAATTCAATAGACAATAATAGTGTGACACAGAAAAAATGTTACATACTACATATTAGATAAAAAATTGTACAGAGTATACTTTTTGTTCACGTTTACAAAAACCGTATTAATATCTTTGTAGGTAAAGTTAGGCCATAAATAGAAAATAAATATTTTAAAGACAACAAATGTTTGGCACACACGAAAAGTATTTCAGACACAGTAAAATATTACACTTTTTGTGTGATAGATTTTTTCTTTTTTATGTAAAAGTGGATTTTTAGACTGGTATCTTTGTCTGCGTTCAAAGTTAACAAAAAATATGTGTACAATTTTTTTTGAAATGTGTACAAAAAATATACATTTTTTACCCTTACCGAAACATTTTTGTATGTATGTGACATTAGTTTTCCGTAAAATGTATTTCTTCTATCAACATTTTTTTCTAGGGCCAAACTTTACAGAAATATTTGTCAGTACGATTTTTTTTGAAAATGTATGCAAAAGTTGCACATTTGTTTATGTTGTATGAAATTGTTATTTTCATGTGCTAGACATTTATTATTTATAAAATTAGATTTTGCGACTAATATTTTATCTTCACCTAACTTTACAAAAATGGCAGTGCAAAAGTTTTTAAAAATGTATAAAAAACTACAATTTTAACCTGCATGATTTAGTGGAAAGCGTGGTGAAACATGTTTTTATTGGGACTAAACATTTTTTTATGTTGTCTATTTAAATCTTGTCTTATTTGATCTAGTAAACATCTCATGTACATATATTTTATTAAAGATTGCCCTAAATAGAAATAAAAACGTTTGTGAACTCTAAAACAGGATTATCATGTTTTGGCATTACTTGACCTTGAACATTCTAAGTTTGACAGTAATGACTTCAATTTAAAGAATTAAAACATGATGATGCTATTTTGGAATTCCACAATGTTTTTAATTTTTTTAGAAACTTTCTTATTTAATTATTATCTAAGTTTGATCTGATCTAGCATGATATATTTAAGTTTGGTGTTGTCTTGTTTGAGACTCAAAAGTAATTCAATTAAAGTATTTCAAGAAGGAAGAAACAAGTATTTGGAACTCCTCCAGACTATGCTCATTTAAAACCGCTTGGCTGTCGAGTATTTTCATATTTGCGGAATTATGCTACTGACAAATTATCACCTCGAAGTCAGCCTTTTATTTTTTTGGGATATAGTGGTTTCTACAAGGGTTTTTGGTGTTAAGATCCTGACACTCAGTGCACATTTATCACTCGTCATGCTCAATTTGATGAACATTATTTCCCATTCTCTGGTGCTCCCGATTCATCTCAACCATCTTTGTTGGAGTTCTCCACCTTCTCTGAATCTCCACCTACCTCACATCCTACCCCTAAATTACCCTCTCATACTCCACCACCTACTCCCATTTCTGGACAGCCCAATCCGTCGTGCAAAGCATGTGTTCCATGATTCCCTCCATCCGTCACTTCCGTATTACCGCCACCACCCCCCTCCTCTGTCACCTCCATCTCCTACCCCTCCCTTGTCACCTCCAGCCCTTCCTCCTCCCCTCCACCAGCCATCTCCACCCATCTGATGATCACTCAGTTCGAGGCAAGTCTAGCATTTTTAAAACTAAGCATCCTGTTGATTTGACATCTTCACCATTAATCTCAACTTTGGTTGCTTCCTCTGTGCCCCGTGGCATCATGTATGCCATAAAATCCCTCAATGGATTGCCGCCATGAATGAAGAAATGCACGCTATTCAGTCAAACAACACTTGGGATTTAGTCTCACGACCTCCCAATGCTAATGTTGTTGGCTCTAAATGGGGTTTTCGCACCAAATTCCGAGCTGATGGGACTATTGAACGTTACAAGGCTCAGCTTGTAGCCCAAGGGTTCACTCAAATACCCGGGAATATTTCTCACAATTTTAGCTCTATTGTGAAGGCAACCACAGTCCAGGTCATTCTGGCTCCCTCACTACATCATCAGGACGTTAACAATGCCTTATTAAACGGTACTCTTTCCAAACCCGTTTATATGGCTCAACCTTCGGGCTTCATTGATCCTCACTTCTCCGATCATGTTTGTCAGCTGAAGAAGGCTCTTTATGGACTCCGCCAAGCTCCCTTCGCATGGTTTCATCGGTTCATCACCTTTCTCTCTCATATGGGATTCCGTGAGAGTCAATCTGACTTGTCTCTTTTCTTCCTTCATCGAAGACCTTCCATCATTTATCTATTACTTTACGTTGATGACATCATCCTTACGGGAAATGATCCAACTTTACTTGGGGATCTTATTCAGCGAATTCACAGAGAGTTCTCCATTAAAGATCTCGGGCAACTCAGCTATTTTTTGGGTCTAGGGGTCTCCTACACACCGCACGGTTTATTTCTTGGTCAATCTAAATATTCTTGTGATATCTTGGACCATATTGATCTGCTAGACTCCAAACCTGTCTCTACCCCACAAGTGGCCGATGAAATCTTGGTTAACACTAGTTCTTCCTTTTCCAATCCGATTCTTTATCGATCTATTGTCGGTGCCCTGCAATATCATACTATTACCTGTCCCGATTTGTCCTTTACGATCAACCTTGTCAGTCAATTCTTACACTCGCCAATAGATGATCACTTTTAGGCTGTCAAACGGATTCTTCGATAAGTTCATGTTAAAGGGAATATTCATTATGATTTGTCATTTGATCGTCGCCCGAATCAGTCTATTCTTGCCTACTCAGATGATGATTGGGCATGGTGTGCCGAGATTCGTCGTTCCACCTATGGATATTCTATCTTTCTTGGCAGGAATCTTGTCTCTTAGAGTGCTAAAAAGCAACCTTCCGTCTCTCGTTCTAGTTGTGAATCGGAGTATCGTGCTCTAGCCAACACTCTGTTTCTGAAGTCATTTGGTTAGTAAACCTGCTTCAAGAACTTCAAGCTTCTCCACGTTCTACACCTCTTCTTTTATGTGATAATAAAAGTGTTGTCTTTTTTTAGTCAAAATCCTACTACACATAAATGTGCAAAGCATATTGACATTGACTATCATTTTGTGTGCGCGTGAATTGGTATCCTCGGGTGGTTTACATACGTAGTTTATTCCATCTCATCTATAGGTTGCTGATATATTCACCAAAAGTCTTCCTCGACATGCGCTTGAATTTTTGTAATTCACATTTAATAGTGTTAAATGTGAATTAAATGGCTAATATATTTTTCCTTGTGTATCATTTCAGCCGATATGTATTTGATTTTCTTACCTTTATTCCTATACTGTATCAATTCTTCGCTTAACCCAGTGTGAATAAAATACACTTCTTACGCATTCTTAATTTATTCATACTTTATTAATTTAATATTAAATACACAAACTCATTTTTCTTAATAATGGTGTCATCCTTTTCCGTCTCAATATTAGTAAGACGGTGGTAGTACATTTTTTCAAGTGTGAGAAAATTGACATGTAAGAGTTTGAGAAATTTTATATAGGGTGAGTAACCCAAGTCAGCGAAGTTGAAATACTCTCTCCATCCCATAAAATAAGTCTCACTTTTCTTTTTGGGTCGTCAAAAAAATTGTTCCCATTTCCCTTTTTGGAAAGTTTTGTGTGGCTAACATTCATTTACCTTTTTCTTACTCAACCACAACCATACATTTCCACTTTATTCTCACTTTCTTAAACTTCGGTCCAAATTGAAGTGAGACTTATTTTATGAGACGGAGGTAGTAATAAATTCTTCTAATTTGTGGAAAGATGTGTTGGAATATACTCCCTCCGTCCCATAAAATTTTTCCCGCTTTCCTTTTTGGGTCGTTCCAAAAAATTCTTTCCACTTACCATTTTTGGACAATTTGTGTAGTTCACATCCATTTCATTTTTTTCTTACACAACCATAACCATACATTTGCACTTTATTACACTTTCTTAATTTCCGTGCCAAATAAAAGTGGGAAGAATTTTATGGTGAGATGGAAGAGTGGAAGATGATAAATAAACAATGTCACGTGTAAGAATGTAATTGATGTTGAGTCCATGCAGCAGGTGCTGCTCACCTCTGACAAACTTTATTATCTAAATATATAAACAAAACAAATTGGTCGTTGAGTTGACGCGAAATAACTAGGGAGCAGCCAACACTTACGTTTGTATATATATTTGGGAAACCACTCCTCTCATCTCCCAATTCCCATCTTTTTGTCTTTTATATTACCGTACAATATACAATATACATGTATACTATACGTTTATTTCAAATCTCATTTGTTCTTTATTTATATATATATACACCTCACCGTATTTATCTTGAGCTCTAGCTCACTTCTCAAAAATTGTAAAATAATAAAATGTTACGATAGTATATTAAAATTTAAAATAGCACGTATGAATTACTTCTTCTATTAGATTGATCATTTAAGATTAAATATCACATGATGTGAGCTCATATGAAAATTGACAATGATTAAAAAATATGAATGACGACTCAATGAAAAAATGAATCGAAAGGAGGCTTTGGGGGGGTTAGCCCAGGCAACAGCCTTGGGCCTCACATGAGAAGGGGGCCTCCAAAATCAAAGTTATTACTATTACTACTATGTATAATTACTTAATAATTGGAAACCAGAATAGGAAAATTATCTTCTACGTACGCATCCAGCAAGCAACGACGTGTCACGTGTAGATGTCTAAATAAGGTAATAAGGATTTTAACTTTTTAGTACTACAAGTGTTTTAATGTGATTACAGTGAGACAATGTCTACTAAAGGAGTAAAAGTGTAAAGTTAAATATTTAATATGTTGAATGTATGACAAATAGGTATAATTTAAAAATTACTGGGTTAATATTGTTATACTGGTAAAAACAAATTGGTATTGTATGAATTAGATTATACGTCGTATGATGTTATTTTTTTGTAAATATTAGCATGAAATAATTAATGTGATGGTATTGGTATTACTAAATTATTATTTTTTCTCATTTTTATTTATAGATTCTTGGTTTTTGTTAATTTATTGTTTATGATTTTTGTATTATATATTAGTCCAAAAGAAAGAATAAGTTTAGATAACTAATGAAATTCTCTTTCATGAATTTTTGCTCTGGACGTTCACGTTATATATGCAATTTGAATATGTTTTTTCATATGATTTTTTATGGTTTCAATATGATAATTTTTTTGTCTGGGGCCTCCAAACTCCTCAAGACGCCTCTGAATTTATGAATCACAACACTATTAGGTGAAGTGTCTGTCCTGAGAAGAGGTGTTGAAGTACCACACTAAAAAATGTGAAGTACTAGTAGTAAAGTGTTATATGAAAGACACGAGTTACTCCTTTTGTCAGATTGATCTTTTTAGGATGAAACTTTAGATCTTAACGATTTAAATCAGAAATCGTACTTTTAGTCCCTCAAATTGTACACTTATTGAAATGTAGCACTCGTGTTTTCAAGTTCATAAATGTCATCCTTCAATTGTAGAAATTGTGGTAAATGTGATCGTTTGAGGGGCAACATGTACAATGTGGGCAAGGATCACATTTATATTCATCCAGAAAATTGAGGAGAAACATTTACACACTTGAAAATCCACGGACTACATTTCAATATTGACAGTGTTTGAGGGATGGAAAATGTGATTTTCCATGATTTAAAATTTGTTATATCCTCTTTCACTATAACTTTTTACAGATATTTTAACTGTAATACTGCCCATATAAATTTCACATACATACAAATGAAGACAGTGTATACATTAGAAACTTCCAACGTTTTCTTGTGGCATACATTTTTCTTTTTTGTGAATTTTAAAAATAACCAAGTATTCTTTTTGCCTCATTTTACATATTTTACTTTTGCTTTTGGTTTGTCTCAAATAAATTTCTTATTTTCTTAACCAAAATTTTTACTTTCAATCATTTTATTTAAAAATATGTCAAATAAAAGCAGGACACATAAAAACATAAAATGGGATTGAGGTAGAAATTATTATTACCCTCGTCTCAAAAAGATTCGTCAAATTGACTTCTCTTGATCAATGATGACAAATTTTGGACAATTATTTAATTACTATATTTGCATATAATTTATAATTTTTATAAAAATATTTGGAACAAGGAACATTTTGATATAATTTTCATATTCAAAATAGTTTTCGTATTAAAAAATATCTTTGGTCAAAATTAATTGTCATTAACCAAGAAAAGTCAATTTGGCAAACTTTTTTGGGTCGAAGGGAGTAATAAACAATGTATAAAAATAAAAAGTAGAAAATTTATTAAAGTGTACATTATAGGAAAAATGAAAACTAATAATCTCATCTTTTACTGGTTTTCTTAAAATATATAGTTCCACCTAACGGTGATATGAGAATAACCCCACATTTGCACCTCATCTTTTTTCGTTGGTCTGCGATCGGTTGATGATTTATTACTCCAAGTTATTTTCTATTCTTTGCAAAATATGAAACCATAAATCTCATTTTTAATGAATCTTCTCAAATGGTCCCACATATTAGTTTTTCGCATTCCTTCTAAAAGTTTTTTCTCTTTATTTTTAGAAATAATTCCAAATATATAATCAAAATAAAAGTAGTGGATAAAAATGTGACTTTGATAACTTTAGTAGTGACTATAATATAATTGTATTCAAATGTTACATTATAGTGACTATAAAACTTACAAATAATAACATATAGTCACTTTTTTCAATAGATTTTTATTTCTTTTCCATGTTTATGTATTCCATTTTTCCTTGTAAAAACAAAAAAAAAGTATCGCATTTTCCCTGTTTTTCTTCTTCTCGTTTATTATTTCATTTCCATTTATATGCATTTTTTCGGATTAGTTCCCTTCGTATAAAAGATTTTTTCTCACCCTACTTATTATTTACTTTAGTTTCTTTTTACCTCCCGTTGTTTTTCGTGTTACTTTTTCTTACCCTAATTCCACCATTAATATACTTTCTCTCTTTTCTGGATCACCTTATTTTCCTAAGGGTTTCCACCATTACTCCATCAGCTATGATGAAAAATCTTCAGATAAAAAGAAAAATATAAACGAGTAGCCGAAAAACAATTATAAAAAGAGACTATGGATATGATTTCCAGTCCTTTTTGGAATCGCGTAGTGATAAATATAGAATATGTTTTTTAAATGTTACAGAATATTATTTCTTAACATTAATGTCATCTAGTTCTTCGGGTCCAAGTTCAATAGCTAGCTTATGTATAAAGATCGAGTTCGAACGGCATCCAAGCAGTAAAATTTTAATTTTTGGTTATTAATCGATCTTTGCCTTAGCTTCATCAAATAATAATGATATAGAAACAAATTAAATTTAGAAAAAACTGTACAGTTCTCTAAAATAAATATGAATAATATATTAGCAAATTAAAAAGGTTTAGTTAACTTTAATACATTTCATTTGGTGGTCCAGTTTTCATGTCGTTGACTTTTGGAATCTGGTGATACACTAAAGGAAGAAAAATGTTAAAATTGTTCTTATCGTAGGTCACAGTCCGTCGAGAATATTATAGGAAATTAATTACCCCAATATTTAAAAAAAGACTAATATAATATAAGTTAAGACATTCCAACAACCCAATGCAATGCAAGAACCACTAACCTACCGTATCTTCGGAGCCTAATTTTCAAGTGCTAATCTCATACAGTATCATGTTTTTATAAATACAATGACTGCAGTCTTAGTTTGTCTGTATTTTCTTTTCTATTTGTCCATGAATAACACCTACATTTGACTGATTGAAAGCTGTCACAAATTCATAACTCCCTAAATTAAATGTAATATTAAACTCCCTGTAATACAATAATTACGATATTTGACAAAACAAAAATTAATATTTCAACATATTATTGCATTAGCATAAGTAGTATTATCTAATAAAACAAAATCAGAACTAATATATAATTATAACATACATATTCAGTTAAATGTCCTATTATCAGCAAAACCCGAATTTTATATAACAAAAGTTTGGTAGATAAACTTAAAGTTATGATGTAAAGAAAACAGAGTTCAACCCTCCTAATTAAAAGAAAGTTAAATATTAAAGTAAACAAAAAACCGACTGATGGATAATCTACCCGGGGTATATATCCGAAGGGTTATTACGGGGAGTAATTTAGAGAGAAGTCAGAGTAAGTGAATAAAAGTAGAGAGAGTGTATTCAGTATGAATGCCGTTTTTAGCGTGTTATGACTTGGTTACAAATGGGGAAAAGGGGTGCTATTTATAGTAGCAATAAATGCCGGGCAGGGACACGTGTCAAGCGCTCATTGGCCGAGGGGTCACCTCAACTGGTTGGCGCTGGCAGCCGCATGTGGCCGCATTTAATGCGGCTGTTGGATGGGACGTCTGTGCGGGGTACGGTGATCTGTACGCATGTGAGGCGGATATCTTGTCGAGTGAGATGCCTTCGGCTATAGAGCAGTAGCCGAGGGCTCTTCCACCCGATGGCACCCTGGTGCCGAGGGCTCACAGTGCCGAGGGCTACTGTTTTCGCCGTTTTCTCCCAGTTTCTTAGTTTGCTTGAGAAACCCGTTATGTGAGAACTTGGAGCCTTCGGCCAGGGGGCCGAAGGCACCCCTGGCGCGTAGTGCGGGCTGCTTGGTACTCCGGGTGCTGTGATTTGGGCCTGCTGGGCCTCCTGGGCCTGTTGGGCCTTCGCTGGAGTAGTAGGAGTGTGTGGGCCGGGGGTTCCCGGGCCATATACTCCATCAGGAGTCCCTCACTCCTTTTGCCGAAAGGTACTTGAGGGAAAAGGAGTAATTTGTGCTTGCCCTTTGATGTTGTCCCGTCGTGATCTCTGAAGCTGGTGAGGAGTTGTTGCTTTTATGTCCCTGCCGAAGGCAGTCCCTCAGTTACCCACATGTCGGGACTTGAGGGCTTGCTTTGTTGTTTGTTGGAATTTCACCAAATTTTGTAATTTAATGATTTTCCCGAGGGGGTCCTCCAGTCCCCCACTCCTTGAGGCACTTGTAAAGTGGTGAAAAGGAGTAAAGTAGTTACGTTGCTGTTGTGGGCCGAAGGCTGACGCTTTTCGTTTCACTTTGGGGGGATGCCTCGTTAAAAACCTCATTAGGAAAAACCCTTTGGGAAAAAATCCTAATGAGGGAAAAAGAGTGCACCGAATTCCCCCAATGATGAATCGAAAATGTCAAACCTTGGTACAAAGTGGAGAATGACGGGAATGCCGAAGGCTCTCTCCTCTGAGGGCTCCTGTGTTGATTAGCCGGAGGCTTGCTGTTGATGTCCTGGTGGCGCCGAAGGGGAGCCCCTCAATCCAGGGATCGAGGGCCTGCCAGATGAGGGCAGCAGTGAAGTTGTTACCGGGGGGTCCACTGTTTGTTGATGAGTTGGTGATGAAGATACCCGAGGGCCATGGGCCATCCGTCAATGAGGCACTCCCCGGGGGCTACCCGGTTTTGCAGTGCTGAGGGGGAAACCCCGAGGGGTGCCCTGATATGCAGCCCTAGGGATCTGAAGGAGTGATCCCGAAGGCGACTGTTATGTGCTGTGTGGGCGCAACCCGGGGGCACTTCTGAGTGAGTGTACCCGGAGGCTATCCTTGATGAAGTGGAGTGAAGTAGAAAACCCGGGGGCTTCCAGAATATAGCCATTGGAAATATAGCCATTGGAATATGTAACGACAGGATATAGCCATTGGGGGGGTGGCACACGTGGCGTGTGATGGCTGGCTGTCCGTGGGCGGCATCACGGGTTGGGTGAAGATGCGGCGTGTAATGATGGCGTCCACCTGGAGGCCCGGTTTTCGGGCCCAAGCCCGGACTCTGGGGTCTATAAATACCCCGGAGCCAGAGCCATTCCTTCCTTACGCGTTCAAAAATCCTTAGCGAAGCTCTGCCAAAAATTCTAGAGAGAGAAACTCGAGCCCTCGGTCACAACACTTTCAGAGGTTAGTTCTCCCTTCGCTCCTCAACACGTTTTGCAAGTTCCACCCTCTGGCCTTAGTTTAGGGTTAGGGTTCCGTAGAAATCCTTCGAAACTTTAGGCACATTTTTTGGCAAAGAATGTCGTCCGAGAGTGATTCCCAGAATATATCGAGGGAGCCCTCGGTTGAGGATGAGGTTGCTTCCGATGTCGAGTCAAGCAGCAGTGCGCCCTCGGTTGCCGATGACGAAGCCGTGGCCTTGGAGTTGCAGAAGGCCCTGGCTGCTGAGGTGGAAGCCGAGGGCTTCGAACAAGAGTGCGAAGATGAAGAACTAGCCCTCGCGTGTCAGGTGGCGGAGGACGAAGCCCAAAAGGAGGCGATGATGGTTACTGTTGCTGTGCCACCCCCTTGGACTGACTGTGGTGAGCCTAGCACCTCCAGGCCGTTGGACCCGACGCCTCTGAGGATAGCCCCCGGTAAAAAGAAGACAAAGTCGCAGAGGGCTGCCCCTAAGAAGAAGAGTGTGGCCGCTGGTGCCGGGGGGCCTGTTGAAATGCCAGAGGGGTATACCTGGCTAAACACCGAGGCCCTCGATATTAAGTCGAAGGCGGACAGGGCTGACTTGTACGTCACGCAGCTGCACATTGGGCCCTCGGCCGTAGTGGTGGAGCCAAGCGTCGATGATCTGCTGTCCCGGCCTCTGGAGGGATGCATTGCCGTCCACATCCTGTCAGTGTCCATGGGCCTCCGGTTCCCTCTGCATCCATTCCTCCGAGAGTACCTCCGGTTTGTTGGACTCATCCCCTGCCAACTTACCCCCAATAGCCATTCATACATTGCTGGCTTTCTGCACCTGTGCCGGACGAGGGGTGTTACCCCAAGCTTGGACCTCTTCTTTCAAAGCTTCAACTTGTGCCGGGGAGGGCACGCGAATGCCGAGGGCTTCGCCAATTTACAGCAGGTAGCAAAGTTCAAGCTGTTTACCGAGGCGCCCTCGTCCAATAAGGGCTGGAAAGACAGATGGTGCTACGTCCGGCTGGCCGAGAATCCCTTCTCGAAGGAGCTACGGGGCCGCTTTCGGCGCCACGAGAGGGTGGGGAGTGCTGCCCTAGAGAAGGATGGCCTGAAACTCGCCAAGATTCCGGAGGGCAAGACGAAGGTCGTGACGATCAAAGAATGCACCTTTGAGGAAGACTTGCATGCCCTCGGGTTCCGACGGTACCGGTTCATCGGGGAAATAGATGAGAAGTACCCTGTCTTCACTGAGGCCTTCGGGGGAGCAGGAGGTAGGCTACGAGGGCCCCTAGTCTCCTACTTAGGCATTTTCATTTTGCATCCCGATAGTTGATTTTGGTATGAACCCTTCGGGTTAACATTCTCTTTGCTTTGTTTTGCAGGTATGGAGGCTCTCTTCGCAATGAAGAAGAAGGAGGAGAGGGCGCAAGCCCAGAAGAAGGAGAAGACGGAGCCCTCGGGTCAAAAGCCCATTGATGAGGTTTTCCCGAAGGAGACCGCAGAGCCTTCAATTGCTGCTGCTCCCGTTACTGCGGCCGGGGGGCCGAAGGCTGATGTGGCAGCCAAGAAGAAGAAGGGGGGCAAGGGGGTGGAGCCCCCGATCAAGAAGCAGAAGGTTGCCGGGGACGCCGTTGAGAAGGCGGCCCCCCTCATAATACTCGATGATCAGCCCTCCGCTGACCCCCCGGCAATTGATACTCCGATGGCTCAGACAGACCTTCCCTCGGGGAAGATGCCTCGGGAGATTATTCGGCTCTCCCTCGCTCCGGGGGCATCCGTATTGCACGGTTCAGCCGAGCCGTTTTCTTTCCTGAGGGGGATTACCTCGATGATGGACAAAGAAGCCCTCTCCACCTATAACGATGACGCCCTCGAAGCCAGGGCCCTTCGATCAGCTCTGACTGTAAGTGTTTCTACTTTGACTTGATCTCAATATTTTATCATAATCCCAATGCCCGTCTGAACCCTCTGTCCGTTGTTCAACAGGCATGCATAACCTTCGGTGAGCAGGCCCGAAGGCGAGAGGAGTGGTGCCGTCATAAGGCCGAGCTAGAGAGGTTCGTGGAGGAGCTGATTCGCGACAAGGACGCTGCCCTTCGGGAGGTGTGCAAGTTGGAGGATGCCCTTCGGCAAGCAGAGCTGCGGCTGAAGGAGGCCAGAGAAGACGGGAAGGCCGAGGGCAGGGCTGAGGCCGAGAGGGTTGCGGCCGAGGAGAGAAAACAAGCTGCCGAGGACGCCGAGAAGGCCAAAGCTGAAGCTGCTGCCAAAGCCCGAGAAGAGGCCATTGCTGGGTTCACCTCCGAGGGCTGGAAAGCCGAGGGCCAGAGCGAGTGGGTGGCTTCTGTGGTGAAGGCCTCGATCGAGGAGTGGGTGAGGGGCCCCGGGCTCGACTGGATGAATGAGAGGGGTGACACCTACTATCAAGCTGGCGAGTTCTTCACCCAGCACCTGGTTTACCGGAGGCTCGCCCGGCATTTTGGCACCTCCCTGGATGAGTTCAACCCCTCGGTGTACGGCCTCCCCCCATTGCAACCGGATGTGCGGGTCCCCCTCCCCGAGGGAGAAGAGCGCCCGGTGATTCATGATTCCATGATGATGGGCGTCGATGATGATGCCGAGGACGCCACCGGGACGGAGGTTACCTCGAAGCCATCGGGGGAGGGTGCCCCCGGAAATGATGTAGTTGATGTGTAATATGCTTTTAGAAATCTCTGAACATATTTTGTAATGAATAACTTTGATCCTTCGGCTTCGACCTGTTTGTAATTTCACACTTACTCTTGTTTTTGATGAAATGCATGCTGCCTCCGGGCTTTTCATATTCGAATGCGCCATATGTCTTGAATGTATGCCTAGGACTTAGAATATTTTCCAATTGTAGCCTGCCCTGTGAGCCTTCGGGTGTCTGTAGTAACCCAATCCATAGGACTTAGAAAAATTTCTAAGTGTAGATCTTCCCTTGTGAGCCTTCGGGAAATGGGATCCCTTCCTGATGTGTGAACCTTGGACCGAGGGCCCAATGTTCAGGACTCAGAGATTTTTTGCAAGTGTAGTATGTCATGTAGCCTTCGGCTACTGTGGAGCCCCAACTGAAATATTGAATAGGCCGGGGGCTAATTCTTTAGGACTTAGAAAATTTTCTTGAGTGTTGATTCCTTGTGTAATGTAGCCCTCGATTGATAGGCAGCCTTCGACAATTAGGTCCCTTGAGGTGAGGGTGAAATATGTAGGACTTAGAAAATCTTCTAAGTGTAGAGTTTCCCTTGGGAGCCTTCGGGAGATGGCATCCCTTCATGATGTATGAGTAGTTGACCGGGGGGAAAAATATGCAGGACTTAGAAAATCTTCTAAGTGTAGAGTTTCCCTTGGGAGCCTTCGGGAGATGGCATCCCTTCATGATGTATGAGTAGTTGACCGGGGGGGAAAATATGCAGGACTTAGAAAATCTTCTAAGTGTAGAGTTTCCCTTGGGAGCCTTCGGGAGATGGCATCCCTTCATGATGTATGAGTAGCTGTCAGGGGGGAAAATATGTGGGACTTAGAAAATCTTCTAAGTGCAAAATCTCCTTTGGGAGCCTTCGGGAGATGGCATCCCTCCTTGATGTATAAGTAGTTGACCGGGGAAAAGCATGTAGTACTTAGAAAACATTCTAAGTGTGGATTTTCCCTTGGGAGCCTTCGGGAGATGGCATCCCTTCTTGATGTATGGCCTTCGACTGTCATATTCCTCTAGTTGCAATACTGACTGAGCCGGGGGCCCATCTTTTAGAACATAGAAATTTTCTTTGTTTGCAAGTGTTGTTGTATCGCATAGCCTTCGGCTATTGTATTCCCCTGGCTGTAGTGTTGGTTGAGCCGAGGGCCCAATTTTAGGACTTGGAATTTTTCAAGTGTTGTTTCTTTGTGTAGCCTTCGGGTGATAGGTGCCTTCTGACTCTACATTACTTTGCGAGATGCCTGGGGGCTCCTCCTTCAGGACTTAGGATTTTTTCTAAGCATAAATTGATGTTGAGTCCTGTTGTTGTGAAGAAAGCCAATGAGGAGTGTGTGCCCTCGGCATACACTTTAAAAGTTGTAGAATTTGACCCTTGTCATGGGGAAAGGGCCCTCAGTATTCGTGCATAACAGATGCCTTCGATAGTCCAGTCCCTTTGTATTGTTGAAGCCTTCGGTGTTTTTGTGACCGGAGGTGACCAGGTAGTGGACTTAGCCATTTCCTGATGATATTTGTTTGAGTAGTATCCTTCGGGAAATAGGAGCCTTCAGTTACCGGAGGTGTTCCCGTGGGGAGCCCTCGGCTTGTTGTGATCTGTTGGAGTGTACTCTTTGATTTCTCGCTGAGTCTACTCCCCTTCACCCCCCCTTTTTTTTGGTTGGTGGTGAAGGGAAGGCATCAAGAAACTTGGTTTCTTGGTAAGGCTGGGCCTATTAGGAGACCATCAGAATACACCAATGGCTCTCCTCCCTCGGGTTAACCTTCCGAGTTCCGAGGGGATCGAGGGACGTTTCCTGGGCACAAGATATGGTGGTCCGTAACCTGCCTCCCCTTGGGGGATGGCGCGGAAAGCGCCTCATTTTTGAAAGTCGTCCCCTCGGCACTAGACATAGTCCGTGGCCTGCCACACCCTTGGGGTGGTGGCGCGGGGAGCGTTTCGGTTTGGAAGTCGAATCCTGGGCATTTCTCATGCCTGTCATACCCTGGGGGTAGTGACGCGGATAGCGTTCCGTTTTTGAAAGTCGAATCCTGGGCATTTCTCATGCCTGTCATACCCTGGGGGTAGTGACGCGGAAAGCGTTTCAAGGAAGGGTTTTCATTTGCACACTAGTTGCAAATGGCCGGGGGCATTACGTGTCGCCGGCACCGATGGTGGCGCCTTCGGTATATGCGTCCTCGTGGGGTACGACTTTTAGAAACAACACTTGGTGTTAGTTTCGATGTGTAGCCCCCGGTACTTGGTACCGAGGGGTCTTCTGTAGGAACACTTGATGTTCTCTTTTGTCGTAGTTGATGTAGGCGTCTACCCTCGGTACTTGGTACCGAAGGGTTTTCAAATGAAACACTTGGTGTTTCCCAACAGATGTTTGGAAGTTGAAAGGAGAGCATATCCCTGGCACTGGGTGCCGAGGGGTCTTCTTTGAAACATTTTGGTGTTCGTTTCGATGTTTGATGATGGAGGTGTACCCTCGGCACTGGGTGCCGAAGGGTCTTCTGTAGGAACACTTGGTGTTCTCATCTTTTCTTTTTTGATGTTGAAGGTGGGGATGTACCCCCGACACTGGGTGCCGAAGGGAAATGAAACACATGGTGTTCCTTGTTGTTGGTGATAGGAGTTCCTTCCCTCGGCACTGGGTCCCGAGGGGTCCTGACTGAAAACACGTGGTGTTTTCGCTGTTTGTTGTAGGTGTTGATGGTGTCCGCCCTCGGCACTTGGTGCCGGAGGGGGTTCTTCTCGTGGTGAGGCCTGGGGCCTGTAGTCAGTATGAGGGCTTGATGTCTTGAATGTATCTTCATTCTTCGAAATTGGAGGCCTTGGGCCATAGGATAGTACATTCACTAGTTATGAGGGCTTGGCCGCTCTTACATTATTGATAAAATTTAATTAAGTGGTGTACATTCCAGTGCCTAGGGACTTCTTTCCCGTTGGGGCGCTTGAGCTTGTAGGTCCCGGGTTTGATGATGGCTGCTATGATGTAGGGGCCTTCGAATTTTGGTGCCATTTTTCCTCCCCCGGTTGGTTGGCTGGCTTCCCTCCTCCGGAGGACATAATCCCCCACTTGAAATTCTCGGGTGCGAACTTTGGCGTCGATGTAGCTTTTAACTTGCCTTCGGTAGTTTTCTGCCCGGATGAAGGCCTGCTCCCGGCGTTCTGAAATGAGGTGGAGGTCGAGGGCCATGTTGCTGTCGTTGACCTCGGGGTCATATTGGATCACCCTTCGGGTAGGAAGGGTGACTTCCGTAGGAGCTTTGGCTTCAAAACCGTAGCAGAGGGAGAAGGGTGTTTCACCTGTAGCTCGCCGAGGGGTGGTGCGGTAGGCCCAAAGGATGTTGTGAAGTTCTTCCACCCAGCCACCACCCTCAGCCTCCAGCTTCTTTTTGAGGCCCTCGAGCAAGGTCCGGTTGGCGTTCTCTACTTGCCCGTTGCCTTGAGGGTAGGCAACGGAGGAGAAGGTGTGTTTGATTCCCCATGCCTCCAGAAGGGCACAGAAGGGGGCTGCCTCAAATTGTGTTCCATTGTCGGAGATGATCTGCTGGGGGACGCCAAACCTTGTGAGGATGTTCTTGAGGACGAAGTGACGGCACTTCGCCTCTGTGACGAAGCCCTCGGGAGTAATGAGGACTACCCCTCCCCCGCATGCTTTGGTCGCGGAGGAGCCATCAGTGTAGAGGGTCCACCAGTCGTCCGAGGTAGCCGAGGGCTCCCCGTCCGTGGCTGCCCTTGCGGTACACTCCGTCACAAAGTCCGCCAGGGCTTGGCCCTTGATGGCAGGCCTTGGGCGGATGTCAATGTTGTACTGGCTCAAGAAGATAGCCCATTTCACCATGCTAGAGGAGCTGGTGGGGCTCCTCATGAGGGCGCCGAGGGGTTGATGGGTGAGGACCTGAACCGGGTGAGCCTGAAAGTAGTGGCCCAACTTCTTGACAGTCCAAACGATGGCTAACACCGTTTTTTCCACAGGGGAGTACCTGAGCTCGGCCTCCCTTAGGGTCTTGCTAACGTAGAAGATGGCATGTTGGATGCCGTCTTCCTCCCTTATGAGTACAGAGCTGATGGCCGCCGGGCTAACCCCAAGGTAGAGGTAGAGGGTCTCCCCTACCTTGGGTTTGGAGAGCACAGGAGGTGAAGATAGGTATCGTTTGAGCTCGTCGAAAGCCCCCTGGCATTCTGGAGTCCATAGAAAGCCAGCCGTCTTCCTCATGATCTGGAAGAAGGGTAGAGACTTCTCCGCTGATTTAGATAGAAAGCGGTTGAGGGCTGCCAGGCGGCCCGTCAACCGCTGAACTTCCTTCACATTGCGTGGGGGCTCCATGTTGATGATGGCCTGGATTTTCTCGGGATTGGCCTCAATACCCCTTCGGCTCACCATGTAGCCCAAGAATTTGCCCCTTTGGACGCCAAAGGTGCACTTCTTCGGGTTTAGCCGAAGGTTGAATTTTTGCATGATGGCGAAGATTTCCCGGAGGTCGTCAGCATGGCTGGAAGATTGTTTGCTCTTGACGATCATGTCGTCAACGTAGGCCTCCATGGTGCGCCCCAGGACGGCTTGAAAGACCCGGGCCACCATCCGGGTGTAAGTGGCCCCCGAGTTCTTTAGGCCGAAGGCCATCACCAGGTAGCAGAAGATGCCCTCGGGAGTCATGAAGGCAGTTTTTTCGGCGTCTTCCTCGTGCATAAAAATTTGGTGATACCCTCGGAAGGCATCGAGGAAGGACATGATCTCACACCCTGCGGTCTCATCCACCAATTGATCAATGTTTGGTAGAGGGA